GTCGAGGTGTCGGCAGACTCCGTTTGCTCAACCGCAATATCTCCAGTGGCCGGGAACTTAGTCAAGGTATCGGCAGACTCGGTTTCCTTAGATCCCATATCTTCAGTGGCGGGCAATTTAGCCGAGGTGTCGGTAATATCGGTTTTCTCAGACATAAAATCTCCAGTGTCGGTGGACGCAGTCGAGGTGTTGGCCGACTCAGTTTCTTCAGAACCAATATCTTCACTAGCGGGGAAAGCAGTCAAGGTGTAGGCACACTCGGTTTCCTCAGACACGGTATCTTCTGTGGCGGGGTACTGAGTCGTGTTGCCGGCATTCTCAGCTTGCTCAGACCCAATATTATGGGTGGCGGAAGACGCAGTCGCGGTGTGGGCCGAATCTGTTTGCTCGGACCCAATGATTTCAGTGGCAGGGAACAGAGTCGAGGTATCGGCAGACACGGAACTCTCAGACCAAATATCTTCAGTGGCGGGGAACGTAGTCGAGGTGTCGGTAGTCTCAGTTTCCTGAGACACATTATTTTTGGTGGCGGACGACCCAGACGCGGTGTCGGCAGACTCCGTTTCCTCTGACACAATATCTTCAGTTGCGGGGAACGCAGTCGAGTTTTCGGCCGACTCTGTTTCTTCAGACCCTATATGTCCGGTGGCTGGGAACGCAGTTGATGTGTCGGTAGATTCCGTTTCCTCGGGGACAATATCTTCAGTTGCGGGGAACGCAGTCGAGGTTTCGGCCGACTCTGTTTCTTCAGACCCTATATGTCCGGTGGCTGGGAACGCAGTTGATGTGTCGGTAGATTCCGTTTCCTCGGGGACAATATCTTCAGTTGCGGGGAACGCAGTCGAGGTGTCCGCCGACTCCGTTTCCTCAGAACCGATATCTTCAGTTGCGGGGAACGCAGTCGAGTTTTCGGCCGACTCTGTTTCTTCAGACCCTATATGTCCGGTGGCTGGGAACGCAGTTGATGTGTCGGTAGATTCCGTTTCCTCGGGGACAATATCTTCAGTTGCGGGGAACGCAGTCGAGGTTTCGGCCGACTCTGTTTCTTCAGACCCTATATGTCCGGTGGCTGGGAACGCAGTTGATGTGTCGGTAGATTCCGTTTCCTCGGGGACAATACCTTCAGTTGCGGGGAACGCATTCGAGGTGTCGGCCGACTCCGTTTCCTCAGACCCTATATGTCTGGTGGCTGGGAACGCAGTTGAGGCGTCGGTCGATTCCGCTTCGACGGAACTAATAGCTTCAGTGGCGGGGAACGCAGTCGGGGTGTCGGCCGAATCTGCTTCCTCGGACCCATCATATTCAGTAGCGGGGAGCGTAGTAGGGGTTTCGGCACACTCGGTTTCTTCTGACGTCCTATCTTCAGTGGCCTGGGAGGCAGTCGACGTATCAGCCGACTCCGTTTCCTCAGAACCGATATCTTCAGTTGTGGGGAACGCAGTCGAGGTGTTGGTAGATTCCGTTTCATCGGGGACAATATCTTCCGTGGCGGGGGACGCAGTAGAGCTGTCGGAAGACTCCGTTTCCTCGGACCCAATGTCTTCAGTGACGGGAACTTAGTCGAGGTATCGGCAGACTCAGTTTCCTCAGACATTATGTCTTCGGTGACGGGGTACGCAG